TTCTTTCTTCTGTTAGGTAGCGGCGTTACCAGGCTCTTGAAGGTGCTGTAGTTAACATCAAGGACTCAGGACTGGTAGTGGTGGTTGTAATGGTGGTAGAGGTGGTGGTAGTAGTGGTGGTAGAAGTGGTTGTAATGGTGGTAGAGGTGGTTGTAATGGTGGTAGAGGTGGTTGTATAATTGGTAGAAATTGGTTGTAATGAATTGTAGAGGTGGTTGTAATGGTGGTAGTAGTGGTGGTAGAGGTTGTAATGGTGGTAGAATTAATGGTTGTAATGGTGGTAGAATAATGGTTGTAATGGTTGTAGAATGGTGGTTATTGGTGGTAGAAGTGGTGGTAGAGGTGGTTGTAATGGTGGTAGAATGGTGGTAGTAGTGGTGAGGTTGTAATGGTGGTAGTGGGAGGAGTAATGGTGAGGGAAGAACGTTCGTAGAGAGAGAGAGAAAAAAGTACCACTCAATTTTTTGGGGGGAAACAAGTTTGTGTGTGTGTGTGTGCCTAGTTCTGATTCATGAAGGTCAAAACAGACAAATTATAGGTCATGGTGCCAGACAGTGCCTAGACCTGATTCAAAAGGCCAAGGGATATGAATTATAGGTCAGAGTGCCAAGACAGTGCCCAATTCTGGTTGACAAGTTTTGTACCCGTCAGCAGATCGACAACATATGTGGCACGGTTCAGGGTGTCATTAGAGCGACTTTCCGGTGGCATAACTGATTCGCAGGGTGCCACAGGGGGGAGGGTGGCACCACTCACTCCCCCACTTGCTCGCGGCCTCCAGTGTGTTTGGGAGTAGGTCGACCCGTCTTCACATATGCTACTCAGATTTCCTTTTTTGCATTCATCTTCCTCCCTACCCTCCTACCCTTCCTTACCTCCCCCTACCCTCCCTCTACTCTCCCCTACCCTCCCCCTACCCTCCCCCTACCCTCCTACCCTTCCTTACCTCCCCTACCCTACCCTCCCCTACCCTCCCATCTCTCTCCCCCCTACCCTCCCTATGCCCTACCCTTGTCTCTTCCCCCCACCCTCCCTTCCTTCTACATCCTCTACATCCCCTTTCCTCCCTGTCTCCCCTCCACCTCTCTCCCTTCCTCCCTACCTTCCCTTACCCTCTCCCCTCTCTCCCTTACCCTCTCCCCTACCTTCCCTTACCCTCCTTCCTCCCCCTACCTCCCCTTACCCTCCTCTTCCCTACCTTCCCTTACCCTCTCTCCCCTTCCTCCCCTACCTTCCCTTCCCCTCTCCCCTACCTCCCTTACCCTCCTCCCTAACCTTCCCTTACCCTCTCCCCTACCTCCCCTTACCCTCTCCCCTCCCTTACCCTCTCCCCTCTCCCTTACCCTCTCCCCCCTTCCCTTACCCTCTCCTTCTCCCCTACCTTCCTCCCTCTCCCCACCTACCCTCTCCCCTCCTCCCACCCTCTCCACCTCCTTACCTCTCCCCACCTTCCCTTACCCTCTCCCTTCCTCCCCACCTTCCCTTACCCTCTCCCCTACCCACCCCCCTTACCCCTCTCCCCTACCTCCCTTACCCTCTCCCTACCTTCCTTACCCTCTCCCCTACCTCCCTTACCCTCTCCCCTACCTTCCCTTACCCTCTCCCCTACCTCCCTTACCTCTCCCCTACCTTCCCTTACCCTCTCCCCTACCTCCCCCCTCACCTTCCTTACCCTCTCCCCTTCCTCCCCCACTCCCTTACCCTCTCCCTTCCATCTCCTGCCTCGTCTCATTAGTAAGGGCAGCTGATGGAGTCCGAGAAAAGATCCTTCAACAATTAATAATGTGTCGCCTCTCCTGTGCTGTGTCCCTTGTGGTGGTGGGGGTGGTGGTGGTGTGGCAGTGGCGAGGTGGGGAGTGGTGGTGTGTGGTGGTGGTGAGGTGGTACAATGGGGGTTGTCCCCCTCTCTCTCTCTCTCTCTCTCTCTCTCTCTCTCTCTCTCTCTCTCTCTCTCTCTCTCTCACCTCAGCCCCTTTGGTCAAGTCTCAGGGTAAGTCAGACTCCATTATCGCCTCCATGATTGTACTAACTAATAGACTCTTACAGTACAGTCTCAGAGCATTATTAACGCCATTTTAAGAGTACAAGGTAGAGTCTCAAGATTACTTTTCACGCCATTTTTTACCTCCGTATTTATGATTATTTTTACCACTAATAAAACTCATCTAATTTATGGTAGAGTCACGAAGCATTATTGACGCCATTTTGGTCACTATCTCGGTATTAAAGGACCTGTCATATTGGGCGCGCCATCATTAATCAGATGAGCTATATAGTGGGGAGGGGGGAGGGGGTCTTTCGGAGCTATTTGAAAGGATCCTCGACGTTCAGTTTTACACTTAATCTGGCACTGTGGCACCCTGGGTAAATTGGCTCTCATACATACATACATACATACATACATACATACATACATACATACACTCACTCATAAACTAACTCATACACATACGTTTTTCTCTCTCCGTTAGTTAAGGGTTGTTAACTATCAGCAGGTAGGTAGTCAGTGATGGGTCAGAGGTCCGTCACTGTTTGTTTGAGTCCACCGTCAAAACTGCCTCTGTTTACCCAATAGAAAACGGGAGTTAGTCTGAAATAATTGACCATAAATTGTCAAAAAGTGAAAGTTGCCTAGTGTGTGTGTGTGTGTGTGTGTGTCCTTAGTTACAAATACACAGGTACGCGTACAGCTATATGTTCACACGTACATCTGTAACCACATGTATGTACAACACACACACACACACACACACACACACACACAGATGGGCAGATACAAGCAGACAAATACACAGACAGACAGGCAGACAGACACGCGGACCTTGAAATAATGTTATAACACCACTGAATAAACTCTGTTACCTAACCAACGTTAACTTATATATTCCTGTCACAAATTGGAATTAATTTTCGGGGGGGGGAGGTGGAAGAGGAGGGTGATGAGGGGAGGGGAGGGGAGGGGGAGGGGGGAGGGATGGTAGAGGGAGAGGAAGGGGTAGGGGAGGTGTGGTGGATGGGTAGAGAGGGTGAGGGGAGGGTGGTAGGGGTGAGGGGAGGTGGGTAGGGGGTGAGGGGGAGGTGTGGTAGGGGTGAGGGGGAGGTGTAGGGGTGAGGGCGAGGTGTGGTAGGGGGTAAGGGGAGGTGTGGTAGGGGTGAGGGGAGGGTAGAGAGGGTGAGGGGAGGTGGTAGTGGGGAGGTAGGGGTAGGGGGTAAGGGGGGAGGTGTGGTAGGGGGTGAGGGGGAGGTGTATGCTCCATAACCCCGGGTCTGTATATTCAACTATACAGAAACAATTGTAGTGTTGTTGTGATCAGTTTATTCGTGTATGTAATTGTTGTATGTTGCTTGTATTGTGTATATTTGTATGTATGATGATTATATGTATGTATTTTATGTGGATTTGTAATTGTAGTAGATGTATTGGTCGTAGTAGTAGTAGTAGTAGTAGTAGTAGTAGTAGTAGTAGTAATAGTAGTAGTAAAAGATTGAAATCGTGAAATAAATGAATAATAAAAGATATTATCGTAAACAAAAAATGAATGAATGAGAAAAGGTTAAAATCATGAAGAAAAAACGAATGAAAGACAAAATGTTGGAAATCGTCATGAGTTAAACAAAAAATAACTTGAAAGGTTTAATTCCAAATGTTTACTGGAGTTGATGAAAATTAGTCCTGGCTGTATTGAAAGAGTCAGAGAGGGAGAGGGTGGGAAATGGTGAAGGAGTGAGAAGGAAGGGGGTGAAGGAAGAGGAAGGGGGAAGAAGGGGATAAAGGAAGAGGAATGAGGGAGGAAAAAGGAAGGGGGCAGGGTAAAGGAGGGAGTGGGAGGGAAAAAAGGGAAGGATGGGAATAGAGAAGGAAAAAGGAGGAAGGGAAGGGAAGGGAAGATGGTAAGGGGTAAAGGAAGGAAGAGGAGGAAGGGGAAACCGATAATGCCTGTGTTAAATAAAGGTCACATTCGGTGGTTGTGACAGTCAGAGAGTGAAGTGTAAACATTGAGGATGGTACGGCTCTCTCTCTCTCTCTCTCTCTCTCTCTCCCTTGCTGAACGGATAAGAAATGAACCGTGACTCAATGCTTTTTGGAGTTACTCAAGAGTTCGTTCTGAGACGTCTTGTTGGAGGGAGGTGCTTTTGAGAGGCCAGATATAGTGTGGGGTGTTGAGAGAGAGGTCAAGGTCCCTGGAGGTATTTTAGAGGTCTGAGTCCCTTGGAGGTAATCAAATGGACTGTCTCTTTGAAGGGGAGAGGCATGGCTTGGTGGTGAGTGTTGGAGGAGAGTGTTGGAGACAGGGTTTATAGAGTGTTGGCAAGTTGTAAAGACGAATAGCCTCCTGGATCACAGTAGCCTGCAATCTGGTCTGGCTGGAGATCTCTTTGAGGCAGTTTGGAGTGGGAGAGAAAAGTGAGAGGGGAAGAAAAAGAAGAGGGAGTTGGAAGGGGCAGTGAGAGTGGAGGGGGGAAGTGAGAGGTAGAGAGAGGGGGGAAAGGAGAGGGGAAAAGTGTGGGTGGAGGAGGGAGAGTGAGAGGGGAGAAGAAGAGGACAATGAGAGGGAGGAGGGTGTTTGTAGGGATAGTGAGAGGGGATGGAGAGGGAAGAGAAGGTGGGAAAGGATAGTGAGAGTTGATATATCTCAACCTAACCTAACCTTGTGATAATTAGTAAATGTGTTCGACCTTTCTGGGACGAATTTTGATTACACAAATTGCATTTCAATCCCTGGCTGCTATCTCCGCATTCCTCAGTGAGCTCTTGTAAATACCTGGCGTTTAATTAGTAAAGAGATGATGAGTTTACCTGGATGAATTTTTGCTTTATTGTTTGTTATTGTTGTTGTTATTATTGTTATTATTGTTGTTGTTATTATTATTGTTGTTATTGTTGTTGTTATTATTATTGTTATTATTGTTGTTATTATTATTTTTACTATTGTTATTATTATTATTTGCTACTTAAATGTTCCTTTCTACTCTAACTTTCTATCTCTTTCTCTTTTCAGGCCTTTGTGAAGTAAGTAACGGGCGGTGAAAGTAACTTAAAGGGACAATACGTGTGTTTACGTGGGTAAGTTATGAAGTAAGTAACCTCAGGAGCTTCTCTCAGTGTCTCGACCAATAACATCATTAACCTTACTAGCAAGTGGCTTCTTATTGGCTGAGAATGTAGCTGTGTGAGTGTTGTTTGGTAACTTCAGGATGCCTCTCACAGCGTCTCGACCAATAGCATCATTAACCTTAATAGCAACTAGCTTTTTATTGGCTGAGAATGTTACTGTGTGAGTGATTGGTACTTTCGTTGTGTTATTTTCGTCAACTAAGTCCTCCGTTATTTCATTGTTATTTATGTTATTAATCCGTGGTCTACTAATACTTGGTTGAGATGGGATTGTTATTTTTTGTTCTTCGTTATTGATGAGTTATTGCCTGTACTGATTGATTCTTGTTATTGATCTGTTAAAGACTCTTGTAATTGGTGATTTAAATGACCCCAGACTGTGGTATTATTATGTGTGTGTGTGTGTGTGTGTTATTTATGTGATGGTCAAATGTTATTTTGTGTTATTCTTGTTTATGTTATGGACAGGCTGTGATGGTTGATGGTCGTGTTATTGAGCTGTGTTATTGACTTAAAGATTATTATTGAGAAAGTGATTTGTTGTTATTGATTGTAGTTGATCGCTTTCTCTGTCTCCCTCCTACATCATTCCCTCCCTCTCCTCCCCTCCCACACACTCTCCCCCACCCTTCACCCCCCTCCCTCCCTCCTTCCCTTCCCACACACTCTCCCCCACCCTTCACCCCCTCCTCCCTCCATGCCCCTCCTCCCTCACTTCACCCCCCTCCCTTCCACACTCTTCCTCCCACCCCTCACCACTCCTTCTCCATCCCACACACTCCACCCTCCCATCCTCTCCCACAAACCTACTATCACTCTGCCTGGCCCTACGAAGATAACAGCTTATCAATGAGCGTGAGATAGGTGTTATCTTAGCTGTAAGAGGAATGGCGTTGTTCACCAGCTCTCTCTCTCTAGTACCCAACCACTGTCTGTATGATTCTGTATGTCCCTGTATGATACTGTACCGTCTGCTTGTACCCAGCCGTGTTCTGTATGATTCTGTACCATCTACCTGTCCAGTATTCTACCTGTTGTTATCTCAGGGTAATTGTTGTAGTTGTTGCTGTAATAATAATGTTTGTTAACTACCTGCCCATTTTGCTGATTAAAAATAGTTGCATTTAATAATTAATAGAATCGTGTATATAATATTTATTTTTATGTTGTATTTAAAAGTCAATATATTTTTTTTTTTGTTTAGAGAAAATCCTTATTAATTTGATAAGTATAATTTGATTATATGACCTGTATTTTTCTAAATATGTTTTAATGAATGAAATGAGCGAATTTATTTTTTCATTTGAGATAAAAATTATGACAGAAAATAAAATTAAAATAATTTCAGTTTACATGGTAATAAAAACTCACTAATTTGTTTTTATTTTTGTGAATTAATGAGTTTTTATTTTTTCTTAATCAAGTCTTTAGGTTATGTGAATAAATTATTGTATTAATTTTTTTTATTAATCTGGCTATTGTTTTTCTTTGTTTTTCGTTTATTATTTTTTCTTATTGTTTTATTTGTTTACCTTGTGTTTTTGTTGATGTTTTGATTTCGTTTCGTGTTTGTTTTGTTCAAGGATCGTGTTGTTGTTGTTGTTTGTGTGTTTGTTTTGGTGAAGGTCGTTCTGATATGTTCTTGTTGTTCTTGTCTGCATTAAAGTTATTGTTTGGTGATAATTATTGGAGTGTGTTTGTTATGTGTATGTTAATATGAGTGTGTGTGTGTGTGTGTGTGTGTTTGTCGTGCTTAATTTAACATCTGAGTGTGTGTATGTTGTGATTAACTTAACATCTGGGTTGACATGAGTGTTGTTATTTTTTGTATAACGACTTGACTTGATGTATGTATGTATGTATGTATTAACAGTTTATCTATGCTAACACATTTATCATCTTATTATTTCTTTCTTTATCTCATTATTCTCTGTCATCATTTTGTCTTCATTTACACTTTTTCTTATTATGCTTATTCCATCTTTCTTTGTTTTGGCTTTATTCTGTCTCTCTCTCTCTCTCTCATTTTTATTTCCTTCGTTGTTCCTCTGCTTATCAATCGTTTGTAAATATATTATCCCGTATTTATCTTCTGCTTGCTTCTACTTTTATCATTCTTTGTATTATTTCTCACTTTTATCAAGTTTCCTGTTTCTTCCATCTACTTTTCCATTTATTGAATTTATGAATCTCTCTCTATTCAGCCTTTATTTAATTTTTCTCTATAAACGGAATTTATCATCATTTGCTTTTAATTCAGTATTTATCAAGTATTTCTCTTCACACAGCATTTATCAACCAGTGTATTAATTCAGCATTTATCAAACCCTCTTTCTAATTCCACAGTTCATCACCTCTGTCTAATTATCGTCTTTATCACGTCATTTCTATGCCTTATCATTTATCACGGTGTTTTAGTGTCATTTATCACTGTTTCTCTTCGTTATCATGACTCTCTCTCTCTCTCTCTCTCTCTCTCTCTCTCTGTCTGTCTCACCAATAACCTTGAAGTCCCCCATGTAAGACCGTGGTGACTACACTGTAACAATGGTGCACACACACACACACACACACACACACACACTAACCCAATGTGCTGTAGTGATGCAATGTAGTGTGCATTTATTTCATTGTCTAATATATACTGTATATGTTATAAAAACTATGTATACTAACCTTACCAACCTTCCTTCCTTCCTTCCCTCCTTCCTTCCTTCCTTCACACACAGTAAGAAGGAACTAGAACTTCAAAAATATGTGTATAAATTTATCTTACAGGTTCCTTCTACCACCACCACTACTGCAGCAGCTAGATCCTTCACCTACATCGCCTCCTGCACAAGTTGGGTTCAACATGAGGTAGGATTTGACCTCTCGTAGGATATGTCCTCTCTTACGTCTCGCAGGATCTATGGGTCTTTCTGTAGTATCCTATAGTAGTGTTGGTATACTCGTGGTTGGGTTAGGTTAGGTTTTGTTTTTTAAGGATGTTTGCTTCTGTATTGGTGCTGCTTGTTGGCGATTTATTTTGTTTTTTCCTTTCTTGCCTTTGTATTTTGTCCTCACCTTTTTCCTCCTGTTATTCCTCTTTCTTCATTCTCTTCTCTTTTTTTTCTTATCTTTCCTCTTTTTCTCGTTTTCCTCCACCTTTTCCTTCTCTTCCCAATTTTCCTCTTCCTCCGGTCTCCAAATCCTGTTTTATACCTTCAATAATTGAGGAAAATCATCGGACCACCTCCTCCTCCTCCTCCTCCTCCTCCTCCTCCTCCTCCTTCATCTCTTCCCTCTCCTATAAGTTATCCCTAGGGATCACTTCTCGCTGTAGGACTCTCTATAATATCCTCCCAACCTCCTGCTTTAAAGGGGCTCCTGCTATGTGTTTCTCAAGGGTTCATCATAACTTAAGGGATCACCTCTTCCAAAGGGTTCCAAAGGGATCTATCTAAGGGGTTGATCTTTGGGATAGTTAATGGGTCTTAGAACTGTCTGTTGGTTAGGATAGTCTTCCATTTTTACTATAATAATGAGGATGATGAAGTAACGACAATAACAACAACAATAATAACAATAATAATAATGTAAATACCATAAATAACCATCAAATAACACCACCTTAATTGCTTCACTTACCTAGCTGGTCACTTACCTTACCTGAGAGTCATTTTAACACCTGGCATCAGATTGACCTTTGAATAATTTCTCTCGACTTGAGTTGACCCGCAGGCCTCCGACAAGGTCAAAGGTCACCGGATGTGGGGTTGAATATTTTAGAGACCACTGTTGACCACCTGTGGATACATACAGGTAGCGTGTGGGTGTGTATATTAGATGTGTGTCCTGTAGTGTTTACGTGTTGTCGTGGGTGTTAAGACCGTGTTATCAAGGTGTTAAGACCGACATGGAAGGGTTAAAACATCGTCCTCAAAGGGTTAAATTACAGTCCTCAAAGGGTTAAATTACAGTCCTCAAAGGGTTAAATTACAGTCCTCAAAGGGTTAAATTACAGTCCTCAAAGGGTTAAACCATCGTCCTCAAAGGGTTAAAACATCGTCCTCAAAGGGTTACATTACAGTCCTCAAAGGGTTAAATTACAGTCCTCAAAGGGTTAAACCATCGTCCTCAAAGGGTTTAGATGTACTGTTATATATATTTTTTGGGGGTTTATTGGTTTATTAATTGGTAGTTTTGTTGTTGGTTGTGATTGGTAGTTGTGCTGATCATGGGTGGGTTACTGGTAAACAATGGTGGTTATAAGTTGTAGTTGTGGTTAGCGAATGTTGGAAGTTATTTCATATTCCATCAGTGTAGTGTTGTTGGTGAGCTGAATTGTGGTAGTAGTGTTGATAATTGTGGTAGTTGAGGGTAGAGTGAAGTATCTTATCCAGTGGACATGATATTAGTAATAGTTGTTGTTGTAGTAGTGATGATGATAGTAATTGTTGTTGTAGTAGTGATGATGATAGTAATTGTTGTTGTAGTAGTAATGATGATAATAATTGTTGTTGTAGTAGTGATGATGATAGTAATTGTTGTTGTAGTAGTGATGATAGTTGTTGTTGTAGTAGTGATGATGATAGTAATTGTTGTAGTAGTGATGATAGTTGTTGTAGTAGTGAAGAAGGGGAGTCTGATGGTAGAGAGAGAGGGAGACAGTGTTGTATCAGTTAACAGGCAGGTAAATATGTCTCTTATCACCTGTTGAGTGATTAAGGCCGCCATCATGGGGAGAGTGTCAAGGTATGTCATACACCTTCAGCATGAGACCTGAATGACGCATGACAACCCTACCCTCCTTCCGTCTCCTAGTTCCTATTTAGTCTATTGCATCACCTGTCATCCACATCGTCCACCTAATCCACATCCATACCATCCTTCTAAACATCAGATTCTTAAAGGAGTCTTATTAACTTGCCCCCCCCCCCCTTTAAGGTAGAGTCTCAGTGTAATTCCTACGCCATCTTTGCATCATAACTTCATTGAACAAGTTACCTACCTCCTTACTACGGAACCTTTGGGAAGAAACTTAAGAAACTGAACCACCATCATACCTCAAAAACCACTCGCTGTCATCCCCCTTTCGGCTACCTGTGCCCTACATCGTTATTTACCTGCCTGGTCATTAGCTAATTACCTGATGCCTCTAGTAATACCTAATTGCCTTGTGCTGAGGTGTTGCTTGGCATCATTGCAGAGAGGATGGTGTTTCTGTAGTGTAAACCTTAATGCAATGTTTCTTTGTTGATTTGCTATTGCAGATGTGATCGCCCTGTGCTCGCCTGGTCATGCTTCCAACGTGACTAATGTGGTGTAATAATAATGTATCTCTTTAATTAAACGTATTATGCTAGTGTATTAAATTACCTCGTATAACTCTTCAGTATGGGGTATATAAACTCTGTGTATTTATTGTATGATCGTGTATATATAAATATCATGTGTATGGATACAAATATGCATGTATGTATATTTATTTATCTCCCCGGTATATACATGCAAGGTAGTGTATATATTAGTATTGTTATATACTATTGATATTATTATTATATGTATATCTTGTTTAGTGTGAAGGTAAGTCATATTTTACTAAGTTTATATATTGTATTTTTGCCTCACCTTTTGCCGTGTGTGTGGGGGGGGGGTGTCATTACAGTCGACTTAGTTTATTAGTTTATCATTGTCATCATTTTCGGTGTCATTATCATTATGACTACTACCACTACCATCACCTCTACCACCATCATTAACCTCCTACCACCACCACCACAGTCACTATCACGATCATCTTCAGCCCTACCACCACCACTACCACCATCCCCCATCATGCTACCACCACCACCATCCCCCCATCATGCTACCACCATCCCCCCATCATCCCCATCATACTACCACCTACCACCATCCCCATCATGCTACCTACCATCCCCATCATGCTACCACCACCACCATCCCCCATCATGCTACCACCACACCCCCATGCATACCCATCATGCTACCACCACCACACCACCATCCCCATCATGCTACCACCACCCCCACACCACCATCCCCCCCATCATGCTACCACTACCACCATCCCCCATCATGCTACCACCACCACTACCACCATCAGAAGTAAGTGAATCATGAAGAATATGTAATTTTCAAGGAAGAATCTTTATAAGTTTTTTCTTCTCGGATCAGCGGGATGGAAACTAATTAAATACTGTCTACCTGCAGGTCTTCGTACCTCGGTTAAAGGGAGTAAATTTTGAGCATTTTTGTGAGGATATTATTATTAGTAGTAGTAGTAATAGTAGTAGTAGTAGTAGTAATAGGGGTGGACGTGTCTGAAGAGAGAGAGAGACGAGAGGAAATTACCACATTAAGTAGGTGTGGGAGGATAGGTGAGTTTCCCCTTGAATGATGGAAGGAAAACGGGGGTATGAAAATGGGATGTAAGTCAGGGATAACAACTCGAAATTATCTCCAATCCAATTAGACCATCCCCCCCCCCTCCTCCAGTCTATCGTAACCCTGGTGATTAGGTTAGGTCGCAATGGGGTTAAATTCTAATGGCGTCTGTGAGAACTGAGGCCCATTTGACGTTGGTGAGTCGATATGAGATTATAATGTGTGGAAGAGATGGGGGGGGGGTGATAGAGAGAGATAGAAAGAGAGTAACAGAGAGAGAGAGACAAAGAGAGTAACAGAGAGAGAGAGAGAAAGAGAGTAACAGAGAGAGAGAGAAAGAGAGTAACAGAGAGACACCACCCAAGAGGAGTCTGTCTGTTTGTCTTGTATATATGACGTTGTATTTTTGTGTGTCAGTTTGTCCCCCTGAGGCGACACCATGTCTTTGTTCTGTTCTTCTTCACTTTTATTATCGTGTGTGTGTACTGTACGTGTGTGTGTGTGTGTGCGTGCTGTACGTGTGTGTGTGTGTGTGCGTGCTGTACGTGTGTGTGTGTGTACTGTACGTGTGTGTGCTGTACGTGCGTGTATACAGGTAAAGAAATATAATTAGGCTCCTGGTGATAATAACTGGGTTTATCAAATAAATTATTGAGGGAATAACTAATTTATCTACCTGTGTGTGTGTGTGTGTGTATACTTCCTCCACCTGTGTGTACGTGTGTCTCAACAGGCGGCACACATTAATTAAGCTGCAGGTAAAGATTGAGTGATAACCTCCCCCCCCCCACCACTCCCTTATCTTCAAACATCTAATCACTATTCACACTTTTTGGTCATAGTCCATAATAATTTTTAAAGGGGGGGGAAGGTTGTGTTTGTACCCAGCAACGAACAAAAGGGAATAACAATGCCTTGAAATTTTTGCCGTGTTTGGTAGTGTAAGTTAAGACAAAGTAAACTCAAGGTGTGTGTGTGTGGATAAGTTTAAAAAATTCTCTCTCTCTCTCTCTCTCTCTCTCTCTCTCTCTCTCTCTCTCTCAAGACTGGAGAGGAGAGATAAGGTGCCGGAAAATACTTGTTGCTCTTTTGTTGCGTCTGTCCGTCTGCCTGGCAGGTCTGTGTGTTCTTGTATTTTAAGTCTCTCCCTTCCCTTTCCCCCTCTCCATTCTCTTACCTTTCTCTCCCTCCTTCCTTCACTCTCTGTCTCTCTTCCATCTCTATTTCATTCCCACTTCACTTTCTCCTTTTTTTAATCTTTCTCTTCCTCCTTCACTTCCTTCTTCTGTCCTTTTCTCTCACTGCTCCTCTCCTTCCCTTTCTCACTTACTACTCTCCCTCCCTTTCTCTCTCTCTCGCCCTTCCTTTATCCCTCTCCCTCTTTCACATTTATGACCATTCATATATCCCTCAATCGTCTGTCTCTACTCTCCCTACACCATCTATGTGACAGACTGACAGAGATAGAC